GGGCGGGCGGGCTTACCATTGCTTAACTTCATCTTAATGAAATGAAACTTTGTAACTTATTGTAGTTAGAAATTGTAACTTTGATATCGAATCTCTTGCCTTCAACAAGCACACTGACAGAGAAGAACATGCTACTGTCTGTTGGCCCCACGTTCTCCCCGCTAGAGCTTCCTGTTACGATCAACATTTTTTCGACTTTTGCTAGCACTGTATAATTGCATTCTTTAGGCTACTGTGAGGTCTATGTTTCTTGTACCAGAAATTGTCCTTTTGACTTCTAGACCCTTCTTCCCTAATGTGTTTTGTATGTGGTTATAAAATTGTAGACTTTTGTGATTTTGCCAAAGTTGTAGCTAAATATTTATACACTTGTCTTGAATTTTTTTCAGATCCACTTAAAATATTTAGAAAACCAAGTTTTATTCCTTACCTGTCTTATAAGGAATAAAATGGGTCTTTCATTCGACACTTAATTCCCATGAACACTTGCGGTTGCTAAGGGACTTTATTTTGTAACATATCAATTATAAATATTGTATTTATCTTTGAAATTTTGTACATTGCTTTTCCCTCCTTTTCCTTTTCTCGCTCGTCTGTATTGGTTTTTGGTCGTGGCCCGCTGTTGTAACACGGGAAGAATAGAAGCCGAGAACTGTCTCTTCAGTCTGTTTTGTTAAAATGAACCTCTGTCCTTAGATTTCATTTGTACTTAAAACATTTAGGCTTTCCTTCCCCTTTTTTATGTTGAGGAAAAGTCAAATTCATTGTTTATTTTTATATTATTTTTAAGTTATCTGAACAAATACTTCTGAAAAAAAGTAAAGTTGGTTGTATAGTCAAAAAGAAAACGGTGTCACGGGCCATGACAAACCCTCGTAGATTCTGTGCATGTGGAGTGGCCAAGAACTGGCCACACCGTCTGGGGCTGTGTCCTTATTTTTTATTTTATTTTAATTTGGTAGAATGTTAAAAAAAAAAAAAAAAAGTCATTTTAGCTGCCACCGATGACTTTGCCACATAGCTGAACTGTGTTTACTGGAAAAAATTCAGAGGCCTAAAAGTTTAAAATAAAATTTACTTCTGATGTTTTAATTAAAAATGTTTGCCACATTAACTTCTCCGATGCCTTAAAAGTGGACTTCTCTGAAGAACTGTGCTATTATCACAGGCTTCCATCACAGTTGTTAATATTTGGAGACGATGAACATGCACACAGACACAAAAGCACAAGCCTCCTCCTGCCCGTCAGTGGCTCCGTCCTGGGCCTGTCTGCTGCCTTCTGACTTCTGAAGCCCACCTTGGAGTCAGGAGGGTTGTCGGGGAACACCGTTGGTTTTTAGTTAATTTTTAAATATTACCTTTCTGCGGTCAGATCCGACAGCACTGTCTGTGCTTGGAACGACCACCTTCAGATACTGCCTGTTAGTGCCAAACCCTCTGAGACACCGAAAGAATCAGGATTTTTTTCTTTTGTACTTAATGCTCTTGCAGACAAGTCAGCAAGCGCTTTGACCACAGGAGAAGTCAGACTTAAAAAGGAGGGGCTTTTAAAAACTAGACAGACACAATGTGTAACTTAGAAAGTGTTCATTCCAGGGATGGGACACAAAGAACGATGCCCCCGTGGTCAGCAGGTCACACTGGCTTTGTGACACCTGGCAGGCCTTAGCTGCGTGGAATAGCCTGAGAAGTCACTTTGGAACTAAATTGCCTCCGATTTATTCTGGGTAAGGGTTTGATCTAAAAAGAGCTCACGTGCATACTGGAAAATTAGCAAGTGCCCTCACCCCTGCACCCAGTTTGTGTTTTAGGCTGACTAGTTGATGCCCTCATTGCTTCATTATGTCAAAAACCGAGCGCTTCACTAAATGGTGGATTTTGCCGTCAGAGACCCTACAATAAGATTGTTTTATCTGTACATTTTTTCAGATATTTAACTGTATAAAAATGTTCATTTTACACAATATTTAATTAAAGTATTTCTTGTCTGTGAATTTCACTTTTGGTAATTTTATCTGTTTGATTATTAAAATGACTGTCAAACTCGTTGCGGGGTGGGGGGCTTCATTTCCACATCCTGGGCTCAGCCAAGATCCAAACCATCCTTCAAAGAAACTTCCAGAGTTCTCAAACATCAGCTAGCCAGTCCACAAGGAGAATGGCTCAGCACACTGTTCTAGGAGCGACTCTGATGCCATAGGGGTCATCGATATGCCCGATACCACACTTAGGTCTAGACCATTTCTGTCATGGACACATGAGCCACAGTAGCACCAGCACATTCTGCAAATGATGCTGACTTTCACAGGGGGCTTGGGTACCCAAGTTCTGAGGGGGAGGGCTTGACAGCATCTCTTCCAACCTCCCCAGAACTTGCCCCTTCTGACTGCACCTCCACATCCTGCTTGGCTGGAACCAGCTCAGGAGAGCCTGTCAAGATTGTGAGCACTGGGCAGGCACCGTGGCACCTGGACACCAGTGTTGGTGGGTGGAGAGGAAGGAAGGATGCCAGCACTTGTCACCACCTAGCAGCACATTCCGCCAGGTGCCCTGTTACTGGCCACTGTGAGCTACTCATAGATGGAGCCCAGGGCTCTGACTCCAATGAGGTCAGCCATCAGCACAGGTTCTAATGTACACAGCTCCTGTGAGGTCCCCTCGTCCCATTCCACTTCATTTGGTGGTTTTCTTTTTCTCCTCAATGAAAAGCTGCCTCTGCATGTTTTGGCTTGCAGCTCTGTCACACATTCACATAAGTGTGATCTAAATTAGTATTCACAAATGTCATCTTAATTACTTGTTCTGCTGAGCAAAACAGGAAACAATTATTCAAAACATAAAGAAACTTGTGAATACCTTTTCCTCCTGTCAGTGCGTCCCTCTTGCCTTAAAGAGACAGGAAAGCAGTACAAAGTCCCGACTTGCCTTCCCAAGTTCCACCAGGGCTGGGGAGGGGGTTGTCCAGTGCCCACCTCTTCCCTCTGTGCTGGGACCATCCGCGCCAGTCCTTGGAGCTGGTGTGCTAGACTATAACCTAGGCAGACAGAAGGTAAAATGCTCGGGTTTCAAACCAGAGACCGGTACTGTATCCCTCAAGATGTAGCCGAGTACTGTCAGGCCTCCTTTTAAGGTCTTTCAAGCTTTTAAAGATTATTCAAAGCACTTGAAATGGGCTTCAATCTAATGCCTCATTTCATTGCATTAAACAGCCTAGTTAATAAAGAATCAATATATTCAAAGGGCAAGGTTATCTTTTGTCTATAAGGGGTGGTGTCGTTCTGAACCTTTTATAGTCAAATGCTGAAAAAGACCTTGTGAAATCTATACTCATCAAGTGGGTCAACGAGGGCAATAAAGAAGCCCCCGGAAGGAAAGAAAGGCTGCCCTGCTCTACAACTCGGGGTCTTATCTCCCCTGTTTGGAGCGCCCAAAGAAGTCCTCGAAAATGTCAATTTCTCATCAAGACAAGAGACCCTGATGATTTTTTTTTTCCCAGAGAACACATACAATTGGGAGAATGCAGAGGCGTGCACTGATGCGTCGCTCATTCCTGCCCACGAGCTCCCTCCCTGCAGATGAAAAGGACCCTTGATAGCTAAAAGTGTCAATATGCCGAAGAGTGAGTTTTGAATGTGAGTCCTTGTGCTTTGAGCTTGCCCAGGCCGATCCCAGGCCCTGATAACGATGCAGCTGCCAACAGACACCAAGGGCTGGCCCTCACAATTAATGCCATGAATAAATCACACAAAAGAGTTGGGATGCTTTATCCTCCGTGAGACAATCCCCTGTTTTACCCTTCAAGGATTCCTTTTATGTTGGAATAAGGTTGCTTTTAATGAAATTTAAACTCATCAGAGGAAATCAAAAACCTCCAATCAGATTACAAATTGATTTTTTGGTCATTTGTCATGTCCCAGTGTAGAGCGGCAGGTTTCACAGGGAGCCAGTAGCTGAAGCAGGACTGGGAGTAAGGGCGAACCAATCTCCTAGCCTCCCCATCCCACACCCCCATTCCTGGCCTGGGGGTAAATGGAACAAGGATCTTTGGTGGACCTGGTATAGACTCATCTGTGGGTCTATACAGACTCCACCCATCCCCACAGGCCATACCCGTGACCAGAACTGCACCCACTAGTTCTGAAACCAGCCACAGCTAAATGACCTGGGAGGGGGAGGGTCCTTCAGTGGCACCCAAGTCTTGTCTGACGTTACAGCTCCAGGGACAGCCCACAGAGCTCCATCCCCCTTGATGTAGCTAGCTTCAGTTGGTCTCCACTGACTTCCCTCCAGCTCCATACCCTGCAGGACTTAGAACAACTGGACACTCAGTCCCCAGCACCAAGACTTCAGGAGCTGGGCAGGGTAAAGACTGGTGGTGACTCTTTGGCCATCTAGTCTAAATGCAGAGGTCTCACACTCCGGGGAAGCCAGCCTGCCCCAGGCAGCATGGCCTCCTTGGGAGCCATGCCAGCAAGGAGCCTGTAGAGGCCATTCTTATCACCATCTCAGTCCTGAGCTGGGCAGCCTCATGGCGGGGCTGGGGGGGGGCGCTCACTGTGGGGAAGCAGCTGAGGGAGGTCACATAAGTGTCTGGTTAACAATAGGTCTGGAAGGGCAATTTGTCCCTTCCAGAAAGAACCAGGGACAAGATGGTAGTCAACAGGACTGCAGGCAGAGGCACACATTTCTGGTTCAAGGTTCTCTGGAGAATTCCTGGAGCTAGCAAAAGGTTGTACAGGTTTTCAACTAGTCAATGGCGATGTTTGTAGCTTGGCAGCTTGCAGAGCTCCTTGCGACTCACACACTGCTCCCAGAATTCTGTCCAGGTGGTAA